TAATCATGGCGGACAGAAGTTTCGATATTAGGCTAATACCTGAATTCAGTGGAACTGCTACCGATCTACCAATTGTAGAATTGATTGAAAATGTGGAGTTGGTTTGTGAACTTTACGAGATGAAGAAAGTCGAGCGGGTACTGCCTCTGCGCTTGCGAGCCAGGGCTCTCTCTGTATATTGGCAGCTGACAGAGGAGCAGAGGTCAGATCCAGAGCAGATTAAGCAGGCCCTTATAACTGCATATGTGGTGGATTCATTCACTGTGTATGATCAATTTGTGTCATGACGATTTCGGCCAGAGGAAATGGTAGATGAATTTTTGGCAGAGTTGAAACAGCTAGCTTTGTTGGTTGGTGGTCAACTGCCTGAATGATGGATGACGTGCGCTTTTGTTTCTGGACTGCTGCAACAAGTCAAGCAACTTCTCCGCGCATCATCCAGAATGGACACTATGACGTTGGACCAGATCCTGGCTCACGTTTGGGCCGTTATGATGGATAGCAAAGAGCCAGATGAGTCAGTTGCTGCAGCAGCTCAATAGACGAATACAGCAGCTCAACGGACAGGCGGCATTGTGTGCTTTAAGTGTTTTGGTCCCAAACACCTGGCAAAGGATTGCAGGCAAGGCTACTTGGAGAAGACAGCTACCCGGACCCAAAGATTCCTCCGTGAGATACGGTGTTTTCGGTGCAACAAAGTTAGGCACATTTCCTCAGAGTGCCAGGGAAACGGATCCAGGGAACAGACATCAGCGCCGGTCTTTTCTCCAAGCAACTAAAAAACACGGCGCTACCTATCATTGAGCTGGCCATAGATGGAAAGAAGTGCACAGTCCTGGTTGATTCTGGGTGTTCACGGATGTTGGTGAGCAAATGCGCATGTCGCAATTGGCAACCAATGAAGACGCAAGTCCTAACTGCCGACATTAAGGCACTAAAATGCTGTGGACAGGGCAATATTGCGTTGAATGTTAGTTGTGCTCAACCTGTGTACATTGATGCCCTAATTGTAGACAGACCACTACTTGGGTTCGATCTTCTTCTTGGGATTGACACAATTAAAGAATTAGGAGGAGTGCACATCAATTCCTCAGAAGTTCAATTTTCTGAAGTAAGCCCCAATGTGCTGCTATTTCCATCATTGAATCCGACTTTAGTGTAGAGTTCGACCATCGTAACTAAGTATGGACAGCCTCATGGAAGTGAACCAATGGACAACCGCCTATAACCCTGAAGAATAGAGTGGTAGAATATTCAGTACCTGACTATGCACGCGATGAATATGAAAGGGAAATTCAGTCATGGCTGGATAATGGATGGCTGCGACCATACCCCGAAGACGAACTTGATCCACCAAAGTGTCTAATTCCATTAATGGCAGTGATACAAGAGAGCAAGCAGAAAGTCCGTCCAGTACTGGATTACCGTGAGTTGAATGGTTTTGTAGAACCATATACTGCTAACTCAGAGGTTTGTGCACAGAAGTTGTGAGAATGGTGACGATTGGGGGCCGATGTATCTTTGCGGAGGGCGTATCTGCAGATACATGTGGAGAAGGCGCTGTGGCCCTATCAAACTGTCATAGTGAAGGGGCAAAGATACTGCCTCACCCGACTGGGTTTCGGTTTAAATGTGGCACCTCTCATTATGAAAGCCATAATTGACGTAGTATTATCGCAAGACAAAACCATTGCGAATGCCACATCGGCATATGTTGATGACATTTATGTCAATGAGAGTCTAATTCCTGTCGCACGAGTGAGAGCTTCTGTCCAAGTACGGACTAGTGTGCAAGGAACTGACAAGATTAGAAGACGGAGCTAAAGTGCTGGACTTACAGGTCTGGAGTGACAATGGTACTCTCTGATGGAGGCAAGGTGGAGAGATCCCCGATATCCCTGTGAGGATGACTCACCGGTGCGTATTCTTGTTATGTGGAAAACCTGTGGGCCACTTTCCTGTTTGTGACTGGCTACGAGTGGCCACTGCGTTTGTGAAACGAAAAGCAAGTGCTCTAACTACAGGATGGGATGACGAAGTTGAGAATGCCTCTATTAATTGCATGTTAGCCAACATAATAGCCAGAATACGCGAGGGCAATCCAGTAGGAGGAGACTGGTGTGTGAGTGGCCACGAAATGAATGTGTGGATGGATGCGAGTTCAAAAGTGCATTGACGAAAAGGAAAGCTGAACGGTAAAGGGTGTCAATTTGGCTCTTCAATGGCAGGTGTCGACAATACATCTTTTTACTGATTCAGCATGTGTTCATCAGTGGATTTCGAACACCTTAAGTGGCAAGGCCTGAATAAATATGAAGGCGTCTGGGGAAATGCTAGTGCGGAGATGGTTGAACACACTTCACGAGCTTGTAGCTGAATATGGCTTGACGGTGGACATAATACTGGTCAAATCCAACATGAATCTTGCAGGCCGGCTAACCAGGGTGCCAAAGAGGTGGTTAAACCTACAAAAGGTGGGAACGGAGCCAGTGCAGTCAGTATGTGCCACTGCAAAGACCAAGGTGGACGCACACCAAGTGGCTAATGTCTACCGGAAAACTGGACACCTAGGCATGAAAAGGACCCTGTATTTTGTTGTAAAAGCAGTTGTCAAGGAATGTGAGGCATGCCAAACCATTGACCCGGCTACAGTGCATTGGCGAAAAGGAAAGCTGAACATGACATGAGGGACAACTGGAATAGGTTAGCAATGAACATCAATCACCATGGTGGTAAGCACTTTCTAACAATTATTGATTGTGGGCCTTCTCGGTTTGCGATATGGCGCCCACTACATTAACAAGATTCTACTAGTGTAGTTCGGCAGTTAGAGGCAATTTTTTATGAATGGGGTCTGCCACTCGAGATATTGACCGACAATGACACTGCATTCATGTGCAAACATTTCAAAATTTTTTTGAGTAATTGGGGTGTACGTTTGTGGTTTTGGTGTGCCTATGCACCTGCTGGGAATGGTATAGTAGAAAGAAGTCACCGAAGTCATTGCAGCTAGAAAGCAGTGCTCTATACCGGAGGCGGTTTACTGGTATAATGTTACGCCTAAAGATAATCATTCGCCTACTACTGCACCAGCTGATGCACTTTATAGGCCCCATACCCATGTATGGGGCATCGAGGCTATGTCCTCCATTGAATCTCAGAATATTCAAGCGTTTGGGTGAAAACTCCCCACGGGAGATGCACAACTAAATTTAGAATGAGTCACGTGACTCAGGTTAATAGCCCACAGTCAGTGCACGTCGATGGAGTTCAGCGTCATGTGAAGGACTTCGTCCCTTTATGGGATTGGTCCCGACGGATACACAGGACTGAGAGTGAGCAGTTAAATTTGAGATCAACCCCATTAGGAGAAACTGATCACTCTCTTGATACTGAATCTGTTACAGATGACACAAATGGGGAAGACGACTCCCCAACTGTTAGCGTCCAAAATACTAATGTGGTACATCCTGCTACTCCCCTGATGACAGTTCATCTGAAGATGAAGCTTGTATTGCTCCACTCCCTCGGCGAAGTACCCGGCAAAAGCGACCTGCTCGCGACTGTATGTTTTGTGATCATGAGATCTTGGGTGAACAGCCCCATAGAAGCAAGTGAGCCAGAGTGGCTTGCATCTGGTGTATAGGAAAATAAGGGTCTTACCTTAACGTGCGGCACGTGACATCAGAAAGTTTGCTTCATAAAAATGGCATTACTCTCCCATCCAGCCATACTAGCAGTATGTGCAGTGATGAGGGTTTTTTGTACAATTTGGCATGCTTCCACCAATAGCAAGTCGTGCGCTGATTGGTCGAACTGGAGGAGGCAATTTGCCTGTGTAATCGAGAATAACAGCGAAGAACACCGATTGGCTGGTGTACCATGATGTTCGCCTGATAAAAAAAGTGCTAGAGCAGTGAAAAGAAGGTGAGAAACGACAGCTATACATAGTGACATGTTAAGAAAGCGAGGATGTTGAATTGAACCAGCGATATTTTGATTTGTACAAGTGACGTTGCAGCAATACAGACTTATTTAAACTATAGGCATTAACTTCATTTTGTCTTTATTTTATTATTTGGTATAATTAGGTTTTGTTGGGACTTCAAAAACAAACAAATAAATAAATAAAAATGCAAGTGAGATATATATATATATATATATATATATATATATATATATATATATATAATCCATACCTACACATTACGCATACATTAGTACATACACAGATATTTGTTTTCCCAAGCTATATTTCCATAGAACATTTACAGACTTTTTTTTAACCTTTCTTAGAACACCTTTTCTTTTTTACTTAATTGTTACCATTGTTGTTATTAAATTGTCTTCAAATTGTTAGATTTTTTAAAATTTTCTTGTTTTGATACAGCTGCAAAATTTCATTGTCCTTTTCTTTCTTTCATTTGACCTCGGTTGCAACTCGGCCACAACATTACCTTCCCTTTACTCTAAAGGGATTAGCTTAAATGCTTTCACTGTCAAAATAAGGTAGCAACAATCAGCACTGTTTGAATGATAATTTATATCCTATTATCTCAATGTTTAAATCTGTGGAAATGTAAGACCTTTGCTTCAATTAATAATGTACCATTAAATTTAATTGAAAATATTTATATAGTTTATATTTTTGTTGTTAAAGTTGACTAATTTTTAAACTAAACATTTGGTACAATTGAATCAATTGTAAATAGCTAAATTGTTATCCAGTTTTCAAAATCAGTAGCTATATCAAAGTTAATGAATTGATGAAGATTTATTTTAAATTATTCATTTCAACATTCAATGCTTAAATCAGTTTTTTAAAAGCACATCACTTTTTCTACTTTTTGCTTCTATAAGTATATAGTTTTTCTTTTTCTTTTCAGGATATTTGTGATTTTTGAATTAATGTAAAAAATGACTTTCTTCTGTAGTTTATCAATAAAGTTTTTATTGAATTGATAAACATTTTAGAAATTTGAATTTATTTTCTATTTCAGGTTGATGGAAAGATTTCTCATTGATGGCTAGTATCCTTTCTTTGCATGACTTTTCTATGAAAATTGTTATCAGCTGAACTAAAAATCAGAACTTTGTAATTTTATATAAAATAATCAATTTTCTTTTTAAATACTTGGAATATTGTATTGAAACCATCAAGCAACTTTGACAATCTGCCTATTTATATGTCTGTTAAAGAGCAACATTCTAAATGACATTCTTAGCTTATAATTCCTTCTCTTTGTGTATCATGAAATATCTAATTCTAATTTTTAACTGGTAAAAATCTCTGGGAAATTTGCCCATAGCACAATAACACTTAGTTAAAAAGTACTATCTAATTTTTTTAGTGTACATCTAAAAGTGGAGAAACTAAAAAGAATCAGTTAAAATAACATTGAGTTTATAGCAAGTAAGCTTGAGATAGCTTTTTGGATAAAAAATAAAGATTTTATAGAAAATAAATGAATTTTTCTCTTGTGAGATTCATTTGATTTATATAATAAAACCCATCTTTTTGTAGATTTGGAATTAAATATAATAAACATTCTTACAGTGATATTTTTTTAGTCTCTATTCTTGTAAAAATTTAATGATACTTTTTGTCTTATGCAAATTATTTCCCTTAAATATTTCTTATATGGTGGATATTATTTTTGGTTAGCTATTGGTCATTGTAGTAGTTTCTTTTTCTTTTCTTTTTTTTTTTTTTGTCATAACATATCCTACTTTTTAAGTGATAGATTTAGGAAACTGAAGTCAGTAGATTTCACATTCTCTTTTACTTTGCGACATATTAAATCAATAAAGAGATAAACTTACCTTATCCATACTCAGAATTTTTTCTTGTAACTTTTTCTATCAAATAGTTTTGTTGTACAAATAACAGGTAATAACTTTTAAGCAGCCAGATAAAAATTTTAGTATAATTATTTTTCTTTGCGTTAATTTTAAATTAAAAAAAAAGGTACATTTGTATTTTTAATAATCATTTAAAATTATTTAACTTAACTCTGTTCAAAGATATGAATTAAATATTATTTTTTTTTATTGTGACCTTGTTGATGTGATAGTAAGATATAGGCTTATGGTCCTTTGAATGTTTATTGGATGTCAAGTTTACTCCAGACCTAAAGTGGAACTTATATATACAATCTATTTGCTATAAATGCTGGAAATGTCAGATAAAAAAAAAAATGTATCCTCATTTTCCATCCTTGATAGTCCAAAATTGAATCGCTATTTCCCTAGCAAATGTTCATATGAGTTCTATTCTTTAGTTTTACCAGTTCAGACATTTACAGCTAGGACACACTGTGCTACTTTGAAGATATTCCCCCTGAACATTATCACAATTTCCTGATAAAGATAAAAAATATAAAACAATATATGCCTTTTTATTAATTACTGGATTAACATAGAAATGTTTTAATCCAATTTTGAAAATGGTACTTGACTATTCGTTTATTAAAAGAATTTCTTCCCTTAATTCTTGTTCATTTTTAATATGCATGGCATAGTAATTGCTGTCTTTCAGATAAAACTGTAATGCCTTGAAAATTGATTAAATAGAAAAGCTGTCCATCAGGAAACTTAAGGTATTCTTCTGTCTGCCAACTCATTCTGCTCATTTTTATATATCAACTCATCATAATGTTGTTTTTTTTTTTTTTTTGTAATAGAATTGGGCTTAATTATGAACAAAGCAAGGTGAGTTGTGCCTGATAGGATCTAAGTTTACCTCTCCACATATGCCTGTCAATGTACTGAGACTTGTTATAATAATTTGAAGCAAGGTTTTACAAGGCCAGATGATCTTGATGCACAAATCAGACACACATGGTAGTCCAAGTACACTGAGCTTTTCTTTTATTGAGACATCATCTCTAGCTTTATATATATATATATATATATATATATATATATATATATATAATGAGGCTCCTATAAGAATCTCATCCACCCTTTAGCATGTCATGTTTTTTGTCCTATGGGTTGACATGCCAACAGCAGAAAAAAAAAATCTGGTTGAGGGAACTGGTTTAGACACCAATCACCTGTTCATACAGCAGCTTGTACTGGATTACATGTTACCAGTAGCAGGCCTAAGTCTGACCTGTCCTGACTTGACAATATAAAATATATATGACTTTAGATCACATATCTTTTGGGTTGTGTTGCAGATGTGTTATAAACTTGATCCACACACATACATTCATATATGTCTGTGTATGTATATATGTGTGTATTTGTGGTTATCTTTGTAGTAAATATTTTGTCTGTACTTCCTTAGATGCTATCACAGTAAAATGACAACATCTAACAAGAATTCCCAAATTGGGCTACTTCAGAAAGCCCAGTGCAATTAAATTTTTGAATTTTGTTACTTGTGACTTTAGGGACCACTTTTAAAATAAGATAGGCTAAATTGGGAAAGATATTTGATTAATCTATAATCTTTACTGGGAACAAATTGCTTGTATGCAGATAGAAATCAAATTCAATGTATACACAAAAATAGAAAAAGGAAAAGAATGTATTTTCTCACTGGGTTTATTTAAACTCAACAAGAAAGACAATCCTAAGAGAACTAGAAGACCCATCGCTGATGCAATTTAAAAACACAAGAGATGTAGATGACACTGTTGTTGACACTCAGAAGGAAGACAGAAATTTTAGATAAGATAGTAAAAGAAAGTAAGATAAAAGGACTATTACTGTAAGAAGATTGAATGCATGATTATCAGCAAAAAAGACAGCCCAAGATATGAGCTACATAGGGACATTAAAATCAAGCAAGTACAGATATGTAACTATTTGGGTAGTGTAGTAACAACCAATAGAAAATATCACAAAAATCTTAAGACATATAGGAATAGCAGAAGATGCTTTCCAGAAACTAAGTAAGAAACAAAAATTTGTTTAAAAACAAAGAAAACAGTACTGAACTGCTAATGCCATGCCAAACTATGTAAGAACACCAATTCTTTAATTCAAAAAGAAGTGCTCACTTTCACATTCATGTGTCGTATGAAAGAAATAGACTATAATACCCATTTCTGGAATATTGCCAAAAAATAACGGGGTCATAAAACCATTTTTCTGACCAATCAGAAAAAGGTGCACATGTTTTTCACAGCAGTTGTTTCTGAGCCTCTGACTAACTATAAAGCCAATGCTGATTTCACCCTCAAAGACAGATCCAATCAGGCTGGCATTAGTAACCAGGCTGTTAGCAGTGACACCAAGGTGCTTTCCTCAATAGCGAAGCCTTCAGTATGCAATGAAAACATCAACAGACTAGCTTTCGGCTACAACATATATGTGTTGAGTTTCCCAGCAAGTCTATTTTGACTAATACTTTGTGTTTCCTGCACTATACAATACCCTGGATGGAGCAAGTAATCGAACTTTACAAATCATGGGAAAAAAAATGGTTTTACTCATCTCAACTTATCTCCATTTATTGTTTTGTCACTTCCACTTTTTTTTTCTTGTGAACAGTCAGGCTGTACATGGACTAAATATGAGCAATGAGGAAGTTTGAATAAAAACAATCAGAAAGAGACAATTGAAATTTCTGAGGGAGGAGGCTCTGAAGAATCAGACATTTATAAGATCTATTGAAGGTGGGAGAAGCAGCAAATAACCTTCTTAATGTTTGTGTGAATATTTAGAACAAGGACAAAGACATACAGTAAAGAGTTAAAAGTTATTTAGAACAACAAAAGACAGGAAATTGTGGTGAGTTATGAATCTACCTGGATGAATTTGGATGAATAGGTAGCAGGACAAAGAAGTACAATATAGTCAAAAATTATTTAGATCAAACAAGACAGGAAGCTGTTAAAAATTATGATTGCTTGCATTTTAAAGGGAGATGGCACAAACAAGAATTTGGGATTCCTCAAGAAAAGCAGGAAGGAAAGATTAAACATTAAGATGTAATGTTTGTTTGTCAATAAAAGAATCAGCCCAAGTTGTGATCTACATATTGGTAATATTAAAATCAAGCAGGTGTGGAAATTTAGCCATCTGGAGAGTTTAGTAACATAGGAATCTGAAGTTACATAGGAATAGCAAAAGATGTCTTTCAGAAGTGTATAAAAGTATAAAAAGATAGAAAAATGTCCATAGAAACAAAGCAAACAATGCTGATCTATATAATATCTGATCTAGACTGCAATGTTACACAGTCACTCCACAAGCAAAGAGAAGTAGGGGTGGGGAAACATCAAGCAAAATAAAGTGTGTGTGTGTATATATATATATATATATATATATATATATATATATATATATATATATATATATATATATTATAAAAGGCATGAACATTTAAGATTTTATGAGGTTATATTTATTTCATTAGGGTCTTAAAAAAGGGACCTTTTTTAAGACCCTAACAAAATAAATATAAAGAAGATAGCAAAAACCCTATGCTAAAATGGAAAATATTAAAATAAAAAAAAATAACTAGAAATTGTAAATCTTTAAATGAACTGTGTTTCCTATGTTTACAGGAAAAAATTTCAAATAATAGCTTTTGTTAGCAAATTTGATTTGAAATTTAAAAAAAATGTTTTTTTACAAAAACGATTATGTATTACAATTTTACAGCCATAATTTTATTAGTATATAATAGTCCACCCTCTATGGATAATTGGCCTATTTGGGTTATACAACTTAAATATTACTATGTTTTGCTGTCTATTCAGTATTATTAGCATCATATATAAATGTTCCATATTTTTAATTTTATCTACAGACTCCTTTAATAAGCTACCTGAATATAAAAAAAACTTTTTTAACTTTGTTTGATTAACCTACCCACCTCTCACTTTAACAAAGAATGTCATATTTGGCTACAATGACAATACATTTGTCTCTGCCATATTCTCCACAATTGTCAATGATGCCATGTCTGTGCTGTTTAACGTGACATGAAAAAATAGCTCACCCACATCCACCCTGTGACCTTATTTTTCTATTTAGTGTAGATGTGAAATTTAATTGATTAATCAAGACATACCCAGAAGTATATTTTTGATTTCTGACCTAATGCCCCCCCCCACTTTAACTTTCAGAAAAGAGGTAATGATTTGTTTTTAAATTTTTCTAAAAAATTTCATTTTATCACCAGTTACCAACCATTGTCTGAGGAAGCACAATCATAGTATTGAAACATGAAAGCTTTTGTGTAGTGATTTAAAATGTTTTTATTATAATCTTTTATAATAAAAATATAATAATATTTTGCTCTATTTTGTTATAGAGCACTTTTTAAAAGTAAATACTATGAACTGGATTTTTACTCAATTTGTTCTTTCTCTCATTTGGAGATATATAAACTTTTTTTTGTCCACTGAGTTACAAGTGATATTTAAATAAAACTTTGTTCATTTCCTTGCACTTACTTTCCTTACTTGAGTTTTCAGCAAACCTCATCAGTCATCTACCTATGCTCTCACTCTCTATCAGTATGACACTGAGGTTGATGGACAAAAAGTGGCTGTAGGTAAGTATATTTGGAAATTTGTTACACTTTTTAAAAGATAAGACTTCAGTTTTGTATTGAGTAAAGAATATTTTGTTTTGAAAATTATTCCCTTTGGTTCAAAAAAAAAAAGAAAAAGAAAAATGCTTCTCCTAGGATCTCTCTTGTTCTCTCAAATTTCCTTCTTTCGCTCTCGCAACCTTTCTTGTACAAATCAAACAATAAAATCACTGACTCCTATTTTAACTAAAGCTTTTTAAATCTGGGTAAGAAATTCCTTGTAAGTTATATTTACTTCAAGAAAAACCCTAGCCCTGTCGTAATATATGAATGCCTTTTTGATATCACTGATTTAAAAAAACATTTTTTTTAGTTTATCAAAGAATTAAAGTAGAATTTTTTGGCAATATTACCCCTAAATAGATGTCTGTATCAGTGTCAGTCCTCATTTTCTATTGTTTCATACAAAAGAATCTACTGCAGTTTTGTGTACATGTACAGCGTATATGAATTTCACTACAAGAAAATTAAAGTGAGACGTTTATTTTTATTTATTGAAACTAAATTTGAGGTGAGATTTTTAAATAGAAAAATAAAACCTGTGTTTAAAAGCTGAAATTCCCTTTTCCAACTTGGTAAGGGAAGTAATTTTAATTGATATTTAAAAGTTACCTCCCTTGTACTTGTCACATCTCAACCAGATGATTTTTTTTTCTGCTATTGCCGAGGTGCTGCTATGCACTCACTTTTTAAAATTATCGTAAATAAAAGAAATAATACATCTACAGGCTTTTGCTAAGAAATAGGAAGATGATGTAAATTATAAAATTTTAGTTCATTAAATTTTTTTGTAATCTTTATAGACTTGTGATATTGACTGTAAGTGGCTAATAAATACTTTCTTCGTTTGTTTTTCTTTTCATTAAATTATTTGTTTATTTGCTACTAGCATGTTTTGATTGGTTTCTATTTCAGTAATTACCTTCTTGGAACACAAAAGAAAAATGGTTTTAAAAACACATTTTTTAATTGTGAAAAACAATCATATTGATACCAGATAAAATGTTTAAATATTGGTGTATAAATAGTGTTTCAAAACATTTATCCAAAGAACTGTTCATTATAATAAACTAGATGTTTATGTAAGCCATGATATGTGTAGAAGATATATAATCATTATTATTATTAAATAAATGTTAATGTCAGTTCACTCTAATTATTACATATAAAGAGGAAAAATTGCTTATTGTGATTACCTTGAAACAGGTCCTTTTTAGTTAACAAAAATGGGCTGGTAAAATTAAGCAAATGATATGAAGATTGGAACAATTTAAATTCAGTATTATAAATAGCTTTACATTATAAAAATACCTATAATATTAACTCTAATAATTCATTTTAAATAAAGTGTTTAAGATTTTTGTTAATAACTGTTTCATGACATTATCCAAGATTATTATAAACGGTGTTCTCTGTAAATCAAATACGAAAATCTTCTTTGGTGAGCAAAAGTAAAACCTGCTAAAGTAACTTTCTTTGGATTTACTGTCAAGCATAATGGCAGAACATTGCTGATGAAACAATTTTTAGTTTGTATTCTTCCATCTCATATTGAATTGAGACTTTAATACATACTAATGGAAGCAATACTGAGTACTGATTATGACATTTGATGTCCTTGAATATACAATTTAATTTTAATTCTCTACTAGGAGCTTACAACTTTTGCATAGCCTATTTTCAACATCACCATAAATTCAGTTCTGTATTTCAGTTTGTGATTTGTCTGTGATATACAATGTTAAACACTTACAACTTTTTCAGTAAAAATTTTAAAAATTGCTCTTTTTGGAGGTGGGTAGCTAGGCATCTCATTTCTTTTGCCTGTCACTATAGGAAATATGTTAATGTTTCTACACTTGTACATTTAGTATGTGAATGTGTGGTATCTGTTGATCTTGAGAAACCTTGCATCTGTGCTCAAAGAGTTATGCTTCAGCTGCTGATGGCAGTGCAGCATCTTTTATGGGAGTGACAGTCACAATTGCAATGAATGCATGTGAAGATGCTCTTCTTTGATGTCATCTTGTTGTTTTCTTTCCAGTGGAATATTTTCATTTCTCCTCTCCTTGCCCTAACTCTTGGTGTAAATTATGTCTTCAATGTGAGCAATTGTTGGTGATATCTTCCCATCTCTTGACGTCCATGTCCATTGCCCTCATGTCTCTTTTGTAGACATCCTTGAAGCGAAGATAAAGGTGCCCTCTTCTCAGTGGCCAGTTCCCTGTACAGAAGTACCTTCAGAATCTTTCCATTTGGTGTACATGTCCAAACAAATGGAGTTGGCACTGTTGGAGAAGGGTGTATAAGCTGGGTAACTGGTCAAACCAATTGATGCTCAGAATGTCCCTCAAATGAAAGGCGCTGAGGTGTCTCTGCAAGTAGACACCATTGGTTTCAGTTGAAGCCTTGAATGCACATTTCAGCATTAGTGTGAAAAAATAGGTGCAAGCACACAACTCTGCTGCACGCTGCTGTGTATATTGAAAACTTCTGAATAACAATTGCTAAATTGTACAATGCTCCTCATATCTGCATGAAACAATTAGACGTTCTTGAGGTATCTCAAACGACAACTAATTCTGTCAAGTATCTTGGACAAACCATCCCTGCTCACAAGATCTTTGATGATTTAATCATTAAATTTTGAAAGTTTTAAATTTACATTTTTAGCAAGTTTTGGCATTCATTTTGCTTTTATTCATTGACAATCAAAAAAAGGAATTATCATTTGTCAGGAGTTAATACATTTATTACTGGCAGAATACAGTTAAGTGTCTGCATAATTACTATTCCTTTAACTTTTTCCATAGTACTCAGTGATTGAGTAGCATTATAATATAGCAACAAGTGTCACTATTTTGTAATAAAATTTTGCCTATAATTTCATATAACACAATTACTCATTTTGTGAATTATCAATTAGAATTTTTCTTAAAAAGCTCAAGAAAGAATTTATTGAAATATTAAGCTTGATTTTCCCAACTATATTCAGTGTAACTTGATTAATTGCATAATTGCCTAGCTTTATATTTACCTTTTATCATGAATGAATATTTGAATGCCTTGCCTTGTGTAATCCTCAAGGAATTGACATGTCTAAAAAAATTTACCATTTTTACAACTGAATGATTGCCAAATGATTAATACAAACTTGTAATAAAGTGTCATTACATAAAATTGTTTATAGAATTCCATTATGAAGAACATTAAAAAGCTGTGTCGTTATTTATCGGTTTCCTGATTTTTACAAACAAAAATATTTTTATATTTGTTCATTAAGAAGGATCTTGTAATTTTGTATGATACCAATAAAAAAGAAAATGTAAATCTATTGCCAGGTATAGCTCCCAAATATTTATTGAACTAGGGGTGTGATTAAAATCCCCCCCATCACACACACACACACAGTAAATCATTGAATAAGTAGCTGGTCATATATTAATAAAATTTCCCTAACCAGAAATTCTAATGATTAACTCTATTTTTATTAATCCAAATACAATTTCTAAACCAAAGCATGTTTTTCTTTCTCTTTAAATGCCTACGTTTTGTTACATTTTTGTTAAATCCCTAAAATGAAGGTCTGCAGATTTTATTTTATTTTTTTTTTAATTATATTTCCTGAAATTTATTCATATAAATGTGGATCAAGCCTGACATTGTTATGATCTGAATTTTGATCTGAAATTTTCACTTTATAATTTTCAGTTGATTTGATTAAAGGTAAAGCATTTAGTTAAGTGCATCCACAAGAAGAGAGATTATGTTGAAAAATAAATATTTGTAGTGTAAAATACATGCTTTTTTTATCACTAAGCTACAGACTTATTGATGTACCTTTGTAGCAACTTACATTCCTTAATTTTGGTATTTTAATTTTGTTGTCTGTTTCAGTCATAATAATTAGAAATTCACAATATCACTAAGACAAATATCTATTTTATCTCAAGTGTGCTACCTGGAAACTATTTTCCAGCATGTCATTTGTTATAGTGAAACTTGAAAACTTTGACTCTTTAATTTGTGGCCTATGAATTACAGTTTCTACTAAAGTTAGAATTATTTTAACATTTTTATTAGCATTTATTAATACTTTTTAACTGTCATAGCAGTGTTATAATATCATTCATAACTTAGAATCATAATACTAATAACAATTGTACCACACTTGTATAGCAAGTAGTAAAACTGTATAGGCAATGGTTTAGTACTATGCAAGTTATGCTTGTTATTCAGGAGTAGAAGAACTGATCTTAAAAGAAATTTAGATGTAGATGGTATATTGCTATCTATTTTATGAAAAGCAAATTGCAAACTGCTTCCCCAATATTCTTATAAATGATATAAGTATTTAAGAACGTAGAGAATGATTTTATAAAAATGTAGATAAAATATATCATTTTATATTAAATTTCTTAAAATAATAGGCAACAATATGAAATTGTCAGCACAAAAACAAAAATTTTGAAAATGCCAAATGAAGAATTAACACATGCTCAAATTCAAAATATTACTTAGTAGTTATTACTGATTCCAAACATTTTGCTGTTAGTAGTTAGTATATCAATACTAAAACTGTAACTTGTGAATACATTTTAGAAAATAGTGGTTGTTTTAATTGTAACAGCCAGTTTGATTTAAATCAACCAGGCAGTAGTACAAATGATTTCCAATAAAGAAAAAAGTGTGAATGATTTGTTTATTCAGACTGTAATAGATTGAATATTTGCAGATTAAAGCTTGATAGGTCATAAATTGCAATAAATAATTTCAGCTTAGATTCTATTTGCTAAACAAATATGGAATTATATGTGGGATGGCGTGAAGATTGCATTCAAGCATGAAACACTGTCACTGTTGGGTTTTGACCTCACTGTTCACTTTTATAGTTACATATGCATTATCTACTAAACACTTTTACCCATAAATATAGCATACCATGAAACTATATTTTTATC